TCAAATTTTGAAATATGGATCCCTTATATCTTAGGGCGGAGTGAGTATGTGATACAAAATTGTAATCATAGGTAAGTTGACACTAACAATAAAATCATGCATTAATAAAAGAAATATTAATGGTCGTCAAATGCTTGTTCTCACAAAATGGAGGCCTATCTCAGTCCAGCCAAAAACAAATTTGTGACATGAAAATAGATTGGAAGATTCCTTTCCATGTTTCATGGAATGCTATTGAAACTTTTGATTATAATTAAAGATATATAATATCTAACAGAAGGTGACATAAGTCCCTATAGGACGGCGCACTCAAAGTCAAGGATACCATAAGATGTGCTTGAAATATACCCCTATGACTACTCATCACAAAGAAAAAGGCAAATATGATACCAAATATGCCCAGCGATGCTAAAGAGAGCGCACAAACGTCAGTAATATGCTCTTAGTGAAGAATCAAAACCATATGTGATAGTGTTATATATGGAACCCGTAACGTACCACGATGCGTCATTATTATTGAGTTTGCATTGGAGTGTTTGACGGACTATATATTGTCGTTGGACTTGCTCACATCGTCTATCTAATCCTCGTACGCTATCCAGCTAATAGATTTAAAATATATGACTCGGAAATGAGACCGGGAGGTGTAGCATCAACGTTTTCAGCTACCTATCTCTTTTTCCATGTCTCTTTGAATACTCGGAAATTAGACCGGGAGTACTGCTTAATATCATTGGATCAATTTTTAAGATACACTTTCTTCATTCCAAATTGTAAGGACTTGTTTGATGTGGCTCTAGCTTCGACAACAGTTTCAGCATTGAGAGCCATACCATACACACGAAGAGAACGCTAGGTTTCTTTTTTTTTGTAATTAAGAGAAGCCCGAGCCGTTTATATATAGTGTGTAGAGGAGGAACTAATTTTTGAGACTTCTCCAGCTTCGGCACCGGCTCTAGCGGAGAAGTGCTAAGTAGTTTAGACATAATGTGCATTTAGATGCATGCATCTAGAAAAGTTAAAACGACTTATAATGATGAGATGTGCATACAACACTAAGTCATTTAGGCATAATGTGCATCTAAATGCATAGCAAAAGTTATATATCCAGAAAAGGTTTAAACCAATTATAGTTTAGACAGATGAAGTGTGTACTTGATTCAATACCTAAAATATAAGTTCTACCAAATGCATCGGCAACAAATTTATGATATACGTTCAATATACAACTTCTTAATTCATTCTTAATGCAACACACTTTGCACCTATATTGGAGCACTCCCTACATCGGCTCTATTTAAGATGGATGGACAACACAGTCCTTTTACCCTCTTGCACCCAGATCCAACTAAACTTTGTATTTGACTAGGATTGAATAGTACTTCTAAAAAAGCTTTTCACAAGTCATTGTAGGTCAGCGCTAGCTCAACGTTATCGCAGATATGCTCCACATATTCTGCACGAAAAATTGGCACGCAAAGGCCAAAGGTGACACCAAGAGGTACTTGCAATAATGCAAAAGAGCAGACAAACGTCAGTGCTGTGCTCTAAAGGAGAAGAATCAAAACCATATATATGTAACAGAATTCTAGAAAACCAAACATAGCCAAGAATATATTCCTGATCGAGGATCGGCGTTAAGAGACGTGAGCAGGCTATTCTCGCAAACAAGAAAAAGAGAAGGGGACGTGAGCAGGCTAGCTAGCTCACTGGCTAGGAGCGCTACCACTTAATTAGTTAGGTTTGTGCCGAAAAGGGTAGGAAATTAAAATAAAATTCTAAGCCATGCATGATATAAAAGGCGGTCGAGCCTGTTGCCATTTTGTCGTACATTGCGTGGCGCCGGGGGCAGATGACGTTGAATAAAACTCCGTCCTTTAACGACAGAACGATAGGGAATGAAGTTAACAAGGTCTAATCTAGTGGACTAGTGGAGCTTGCATGTATCTGCATGAGTCGCCCAGTGAGGCAGTGACGTGCTGCTTGTGCAGGCCGGATAAGATGGATGAGCTATTTTTGTAATTGGCACTTTGCGGTAGCATGTTTATATACATCACGGCTCAGGGTGCCCTGTCATATACATGACACATAGACGCACTAGAAGATCAGGATGCTCCGTACGTCACACTCCCCTAAAACTGCACTGTTCACATTATCGTCAGTATGGACTAGTGGGGATAATCGTCGCCCGGATTTATATTAATAAAGAACACTACTCTAAAAGCCCATTACGTACGTTTTTGCCTTTGCTGCCTTGGTCTACCTTGGTGCCGTAAAACGTGAAGAGTCCTAAACTCAGCAAGCAAAGCAGCTAGGTCGCTAGCACATTCCACCTTGTACGCCTTCCGTCGACTCGACCCCGCCGACCGATCGTCGACACGTACTCCCTGCACCCCCAATCATTCCGTGTATGTTTTCTCGCAAAAGGAAAAAAAAATCATTCCGTGTATGTTCACCGGTCTACGTCACACGGTACAAGGATTTATGGCACGTACATCAAGGTGGCCATCAGGATTGCTATATGCATGCCTGTATCAGCATCAGCCACCCCCGCCCCTCATCAAGGAAAGAAGAAAAAACATCCGACGCCACGCAGCCGTTGCCGCCGGCGGTTGCTTTGTCGCCGCGGCTCTCGCGTCCCGCGCACACAAACAGGGCAGCACGCGACAAAAACAAAAACAAAACGCCGTCCCCGGGGATCGGATTGCATCTCCGGATCCGATCCAATCACTCCTCCCCCAACGGCCGGTCCGCGGGCGCGTCCCGCCATACCCCTTGCGCGTTCGGGTGCCAGCCGAACCAAGCCAACCGTGGCCTTGCGTGCGTGTGGTGTGGCTCTCCCCGCGCGGCGCCTCGCGCAGCAGCATCCGCGTGTGGCCCCTAGTTGCCTTCGCGGAGCCGCAAGCTGATGCTAGGCGGGGAAGGCAGGCGCCGTTGGCGCCGCACGCGCACGCCCGAGGCCACGGAAATCGTGCGGGGCGGGGAGCCGGGGACTATTCGCACAGGCAGGGCCGCAGGGCCAGCAGTGCAGCACGGGACGACGGCCGGGCACCGCACCACCACCACATGGTGACATGGGCACATGCGGCCTGCGCGGCCTCCGGGCGCTCGGCTCGTTCCAGTTCTGGCTTCCTTGCTGTGCCTGTGCTGGTGCCGGGAGGTCGCGTCGGGGCCTCGCTGTCCGAGAATAGCCCGCGGGGCGTATCGTGTCGCGTCGCAGTCGCAGATTGGGCGGCCAGCGTGGACGTTTCCGCGATGGGGCTGTTGCCATCAACTGTCACACGTCTCCCTTGGCCGCCGCCCCCTGGCCGGTGGCCGGGGGGGACCTCACTCCTCAGCCAGGTCTGGGGCTCGCGACAGGCGCCACTCGCTCGGGCTCGTCCAACTTTGGCGGGCTCCGCTCCATAGAGATGGAGCGCGCTCGCTCACCCAGTCACTCCAGTCTCCAGGTCCAGCCGTCCAGGAGGATGACAGCGACGGCTTCGACTTCCGGTGGCTGCAGCGAAAGATGCTCCAATGGACGGCTGACGGGCTCGCACGTCACGATTGCTTCCAATTGACTCTTACTACTGCACGAGAACGGCTAGCTGCGTCTTCGCTGCTGCTTGCCCTGCCAGTACCGCCGCTTTAGGCTTTACATACAGATCGGTCCTTCCCTTCCCTTACCTTCCCCGTGTGACACGCACCTAACAGTAAATGTTAGCACGGCGCCGCCCGTTCGCCACTGCTGCCGCCTCTCGCCATCGAATTGCCTATCCCAAGGGAATTCTCCGGTTTCTGGCAGTACCAGGAAAAGAACCGAAAACGGCACCGCATCAGGCACCATGCCTTCTGCCCTCACGACTTCACGAGTCCACGACAGGAAAAGTGGGCAAGTGGCGAGCCCCAACTGCAAGTCCGCGAGCGTGCAAATTGCGCAACCGACGCGGCGATGATTCGGAGTCCTGGCGGCATGGTCACCATGACAAGGAAAAGAAAACCACCAAACTACCTGTTGCACTCCTAATTAACTCCTTCGGGCATCAGCGGGGACCTACATGGCTACATCACTACGTGCTGCCCATGTTGGCGATTATTCATTCATACAGCGAAGGGTGCATCTGGCCACGACGCACATAAGTAAACAGTCTACTACAAATTGCGACAGCAGTAAATATGACAGTGATGGACAGCAATGTATACCCTTTTTCAGACTTTGTACCAAACCTTTCAAGGTCGATACAGATACACTCTGGTGCATGTGCATGCATTGTGTAGATTTATATATATATATATTTGTACGCCCTTGCAATGGAGAGGCTAGGCATGTGCAACACGTTGTGGATGAACGACTAGTATGCTGTCAAAAATAAATATACATGGTCGCCGATGTACCTACAGTAGAAGTAAAATACATTTCCTATAGCTGTAGAAAACACTTCAAATGTTAACTTGCCTCCAGGGTACACTTTACTAACCTGCCAAAGGGCAGGGGAAGGCAACCCCATCCACTGTATAAATTCCTCCTGCAGGTTAGGGTATTTCCATTAATTGCCCAAAGTAAAAACATCAGTATGGCATGTAAAAATGCAATTAAAAGAACCTCATAGTGTCAGTTTTAATAATATCTCAAGAGTCTACAAACATCAGGTGAGGACTATCTACATGTTACTTCTAGCTTAAACATGATTCTATGGAACAGAGAAAACAACTTGTTGCTCAAAATTGGTATATGCTTTACAATTTTAAGAGTGCAGCACATACTTACAGTAAGGCGAAGAATGCACACTCAACTTCGCTGCAATAAACTTATGATACAACAAAAGGTGATTAGCTGATCACTGCACAAAAAGCTGCCATAGCGCCTCTGGGGTGTTGCTCGAAGGGAAAAACCCCTGAATAATCTATTTACATCAGATTCCCGGTCCCACCGCTGTTCTCATCTAACTGTATGTGTTAATTAACTCAAGGCCAAAACGCCGCATTCAGCTGGTTTTTCAATCAGTGTCGTCATCCAGCATTCATGACAATGGTCCATTTTGCAATGTAAGATCAGAGACAGACGAAAGCTGCTCCTCCAAGATATTAAGAAGGTCAAGATATTCTCTGAATACATCATGTGACTGCATCAAGGATGATTGTAACCATGTTAGAGAGACCTAAAAAGTTCACAAATCCAACCAAAAAAAAAAAACCGCCACTAACCTGTAGAGTAATGCTATATGCTTTCCACAATCGCAAATCATGCCGAAAGAGATCCACCAAAACCTAAGGAAGCAAAAATACATCACAGCAGCAAGGATGAGTGTTTTGCTCAACTAAATAATTCACATCAAAAGAAACCCCTCTAAATAGTTGTACCTTCAAAACTAAATTAAAAAAGATGATATTCTCATAGGTCAGAATAGCATCCAGACTTATACCATGTCAAATAGTACATCAACTGGGATTAACTAGCTTCACTGTCTTAGGATCATATATACCTACTTAAAATAGGGAATAATGTCATCTTATTTTCCATTTTGGTAAAAACATAAGAAGCTAGGATGTTATGTTATTTGCAGAAATTGATATTTGCCATCTAGAAGTTTGTAGTGGATTCTTTCACATGTCAGTATCCTGCTATGAGTTCCTTTTTTAAGTCACATGTACATAGTCTGTCTCGATATTCTAATTGTGTCATGGAAGTTCTAGTTGAATTAGATGAACTCTGCTGGGGGTGCTTGGATAGGGGTATTTCTTTGGGAAGTTCCACTCAAATTAATGTCTTCAAACCCCTAATCCAAGCAGGACCTTGAAGATATAGCAACACTGGCATCAGTAAAGATTTTGCACAGATAACACATGATTGGATCAAGTTCAAACGATTGGCAACACCACATGCCACAGCAATGCCTGCTTCTGCAGTTCTGCCACTACCAACATCCACCTTGTCATCCATATCTCCCATCCTGCAGGGTGCAGGTACCCCTGAGGCCCTGATACCTCACCATTCCACCTCAAAATCCATTGCCTCCACTGCGCCTCCCCATTTATCTACTTATCTACTAGTGCCACATGTAGTAGAAGGGGTGGAAAAGTGAACTCTGATGTCAGATGGATAAAATACTAATAGTACCTATTGAAATTTTTGGTTTTCAGTGTGTGTTGTGGGGGAGGGTAGTCCAGATAGAAAAGATAGCAGCAAGTTTATCAATGAATTATTAAGAAAAGTTAGCATATGTATTGTGTAATTTTAAACCAAAAACTCTAAAATTTTACCTCTGCACGCCGCAATAAAGTAGCTAGCACCACGATCCATTCCTTAAACTTGACTGAACACATATGAGCTAGAAGGAACTCTGCATCAAGTCGGCTTTGCAGTGTATCCATTTGGAGCTGTCATCAGAATACCAACATGTACATGGTAAATAAGTTTCAAGAAGCAAATAAAAACAAAAAAAAAACTTTATTCATATGGATGGACCAAAGGGGCATGAGAAACAACCAAAATACAATAAATTTACAATGATAAGCATAATCATAAAAACTGTGATTAATTGACCAGAACCTTTTGTCCAATCAGTTCAAGTGCAGAAGCAAAATTCTCCAGACGAGCAGACCCTTGCCTTTCTCGTTGTAGATATTCCTGCATGATGTTACGACATAGATCAATTACAAACAGCTTTGGACAATAAGATTTGTTAAAAGCGATGAATGACGAGAGTCTCACCACAAGATCAAACTGAGTCCCCTTGACAAAAGACACGAGTTTAGAAAGCTCCTTGCCAGACATCAAATAGCTAGCATGGCGCTCTAGAATGTTCATAACAGAGGCAATATGTGGACTAAGTTCTTTCATTGAGTTACTGCTGAACAAAAGAAATAACATATGAGAGATTTTCCAACAGAAGCATTTTTTAAGTGTAAAGAACAGGGTGTACCTTTTCAAATCAGAAGATTGCCGCTTATATGGTGAACGGAACAGAAAATAGCCTAGAAATCTTGGAGAGAGCTTCTCGGAGTCTGAAGTGGCATTCTCAAAATCTCTTCCGGATCTTAGCAAGAAGCGAACCTAAGTATGAAGGTACTCCCTTATTCATCTGAAGTATACTAATATAGGAAAACAAACAACATATAGCATAAGAAGCATACCAACTCCCCAGCAAGCTCATACAAAGACTCATCAAGTGTAGCCTGGAAAGCAACAATCATATGGAAGTGAGACTGAGAGATGGAACATCTGAGGCAACTAATGTCCTGGCTAAAACCACCACATGGTGGAGGTAAGAGAATTACTTGTAGCAAACGGAGTGCACAATACTGGCTGACTGCAGGGCCCTCCAGCTTGGCAATGACCTATAATTGCAAAACATTGGCAATGCTACTTATAGCAGACATTCATGATAAAAAATTAACAATGACCATAAATAAATTCATAATAAAAAACTAACAATAATGTTATCTTCATGCATAAACTACAAAAATAAATAAACAAACTCCATACAGGATTGGACCAATTAATGCAAGCAATAAAAACAAGAGGTCGAAAGTGCAGTATCAAAAATATAACAACATTATTATATGCATTGGATAGCCATCAAAACATCCTATAAAGGTTTACTGTAACACCTCGCAGCAGTTACATACCAGTATGTAGCAAGCAGCAGTCCTGTACCACCTCTGTTGGAAGCATTCCTCAAACATCCTATCATGAAAGTTTGGTCATACTAAAAGCATAAATATTTTATTTGAAATCTTTGTCAAATTCAAATACTGCCGGTTAGTAAAGATATTTGTCTGAACAAATTCAAGTTCACCCCAGTTTAGGGATACCATACTCTGTTCACGCTCTGGTATATCAATAAATGCATGGGCGTGATAAATCTTAAATTCTACATATGCTTATAGCAATCAATAAAGAATCAAGAAGTTGAAGAAAACTGACAGATAATAAGATAACAGAAATAAAACAGCATCTCTGTCCTCTCAAACACAAGGAACCAGACAAATCTCTAAATTTTCTCAAAGGAAACTATTAACAGATCTTACTACACTAATGATTCATGATAATTAGTCTTAATAACCTCTTTTTTTGGACAAGTGAACAGACTTAACATATGAATCACAAAGATAACATGGATGGGAACCAACTATGAGAGGTGCGCCAGGTATGTAACTAACTACATGCAAACTACAGACACACCACAGATATAACTATAAGATGGAACATGCTGATACTGTCTATGTAATTACTACAAGCAGAACAGCAGCACAAACTGAAAGAACATTATCTTTTGAAGATGTGAATTAAAGGAACATGCATATTTCAAATAGAAGGGTTGTATGTACACTTACTCTGTGGATCGTCCAGCTGCAGAGAAAAGATCAGCCCAGTGTCGACCATCAGTTTTCCTAGCAACACTGACTACAACATCCATATATTCAGGAAAATTCCGTAGCAGGTCACAAGTTTTCTCAAGAAGAGATTTCTTGGGAGGATCAACTTTTTGTGAAGCCTGATTTTTTGAAGCACTTGGCCTGTAATTAAAACATATGTCAGGGAAAAAGAACTTACCAGAGCACATCTAGCAAAGCCACTAAATAATAGATGGAACATTGTAAAGCAATGGAAGACTGCCTTTGTTTCAGAATATAGCAAGCTAGAAAAAAAGTACCTTGATATATCTGCATCAAATACTGTAAACAGAAGCCACTCTAAACAGTGAGAGAAGTGAGGCTTTTCTGCTGACAAATTTGCCAAGCGCAAAGCTTCTTCAATCTTGTTCCTCTGATTTAAACAATTAACGTAGGATAATTAAATTTAGAGGCATCAGAAAATGTTTTTACGCCAATAAGTCAACAAAAATTGAGGCAATGATCTCAGAGAAGCACAGCACCATCAGGAACAGAATGTCATGATGTAACAAACTTTTTTTAAGATGTTAGATGTAAACAATCTGGGATTCTGGGTCAAAAGAAAATAGCCTTACTACATAACTTACTGCAGATGAATAGTAGAACCCGAAACTATATGAAAATATTCCTTCACTCTGCCTAATTTGCTGAATGGTATCCAAATTCTACACAGCTCCAAAGGAGCAGCACGATGATCATACTAAATATGCTAACATCAACATTTTTTAAAAAAAAAGAGAAAACCTAATGCTCTCAAAGCCTAATCCCCTAGCACTCCCCTCCAACAGGAACACAATGTCCTCCAACCATTTGATACCTCTCCTACAAAAGTTCTGCCACTGTTGTCACACCCCCCCCCCCCCCCAACCCCCCCAGCAGGCAGCACCCAACGAGTACTCCTCTGCACACACCAGCACCATGTTAGTCGCTGAATTCTTATTCTTGGTAGTAGCAGAATTCTTACTCTCATCGAGAGAGTATGACACTAGGAGTTAGGGCAATTTTCTGGTTTATTTCTCACACAAATGCCATACCAACCTGAGGGGTTGGGGATACATATTTATAGGCTGCTAGCCAGCCAAGCATATGCCAAGATGCTGTCCTAGATGCTAAGATGCTGTCCTCCAGTCAAGGATGCTGCTGCTGCTGTCCTCCAGTCAGGGAGACCATATGCTGCAGCCCCACAAAGACCAGCCAACACAAAGACTTATCCCATCATTCTCCCCCTAAGTCTTGGGTCTTGTGGGAAAGTTGAACCATCCCGGTCCTGGAGCAGAACTCAAGGAACTTGATCCTCCCAAGGGGCTTGGTAAGCAGGTCCGCAAGCTGGTCCTTGGTGTTGATGTAGCTCGCCTTGATGCTCCCTTCCTCCAAACAGCCTCGGATGAAGTGATACCTCACCCGAATGTGCTTACTCCGTTCATAGAAAACGGGGTTCTTTGCCAGGGCCAGAGCGGACTTGCTGTCCATCCTGACCTCCACCGCTCTAGTGTCTCTGCCGAGAAGATCACCAAGCAGTCGAGCGAGCCAGAGCGCCTAAGTCGAAGCGGTGGAGGCCGCTATGTACTCGGCCTCGCAGCTGGATAGGGCCACCACCTGCTGCTTGACCGACTGCCAGCTAACGAGGCACTTGCCGAGGAGGAAGAGGATCCCACTCGTGCTCTTCTTTGGTGTCGATGTCGCCGGCGTGGTCATTTGTCATTTGCATTCGACGAAGTGTGCCGCCCAGGGCACCTAGGGTAGTAGAGGCCGTGGTCGAGAGTCCCCGCAACGTGGCGGATGATCCTCTTCACGACCCTCTTGGTGCTCGTCGTCGGCCATTGCATGAACCGACTAACGTGGCCGACGGAGAATGCCAAGTCCGGCCGCAGTGTGGGCGAGGTAGCGAAGGCTCCCCACAAGACGCCGGTATCTGCGAAGGCGTCCACCTCCTCCGTCGTCTTTGTCGCGCGGCTCGACTTGACCTCTCCTTCATCGGAGTGAGAGAGCTGGGTTGCGATCGGTGAGCCCAAATAGTTCAACGACGCGCTTAGCGTGGCGGTCTCGTCGAAGCGTGATCCGAGTCATCTGGTGCACCTTAATTCCCGGTAGAAGGAGAGGGCCACGGTCACTCATCTGGAAGGTGGCCTTCATCTCTTCCTTGAATGCCGCCACCTCCGCATCCTTGGTGCCGGTGATCACCAAGTCATCGACGTAGACACCCACCAGCAGAGCATTTCCTCCACTGCCCCGTCGGTGAGATGGTCGCCTCATGCGGGCTTTGCTCGAAGCTCATCCCTTTAGCGTGGAATCCAACTTGGCATTCCACGCCCTCGATACGGCGCAAGCCATAGAGGGCCTTGCGGTAAAGTGAGCATCTTGCCCTCCTTGCCGGAGATCGCAAATCCCGCGGTGGTGCACGTAGACCTCCTCCTTCAAGTCGCCGTTAAGGGCCGCCGACTTGACGTCCATGTGATGAACGCGCCACCCTCCTGGGCGGCTAAGCGCGCATGGACTCCATCCGTACCACATGGCGTCGTCGAAGTCGACTCCCTCCGCCGCACCTCGTGCCACCAAAGCGAGCCTTGTGCGACGATGGCGCCCGGCTTCATTCCTCTTCGCTTTGTACACCCACTTAAGGGTGATCGCTCGGCGACTCACGAGGAAGGTCAAGAGGCTCCCAAGCGCGTTCTTCTCGACCGCATCCATCTCCAATTGCATCGCGGCGCCATGCCATGCCGTGTGTCTCTCGGCCTCGAAGAAACGATCGAGGCTCGCCGTCGTCCACACGCAAGGTGCAATCAAGGCGCCTCCGTGTTGTGAGGCACCAATCCCGGCACCGGTGGTGGTCGCCGAGAAGGTTCTCTATCGTCTGATACCGCAACGGCTCGCCGTCGTGGTATGCGTCGATCGCGCCTCGTCGTGAGAGAGCGAGTAGCGAAGCTCAACCGGCCGTGCTCGACGCGACGAGCCGGTGTTGGAGTAGACGTGCCCGCAGAGGTGCTGTCGGTCTTTGGTGCTTGCGGCCGTGGTGGAGCCGGGCGAAGAACTCATCGCAGCCGAGGAGGTCCCGGCCGGAGAGTGTGGTGCCGTCGAGTAGCAGCGCCGAAAGGTCGGTGGAGGCTCGGGGACCGGGGGGTAACGCGCTCGTCAAGAAGAGCCGCCTCCCCGCTCCCTCGAAGTGGGCGTACTCAACAAAGGAAGTCGTCATACGTCGGGCCGAGCCGTCATCCACCGCTTTGTCCCACGCCCATCCTCGCCCTTCGTTGAATACAACGTTGCGCGCGTCGCGCACACGCCGTGTCTTGGTCGAGGATGCGATAGGCCTTCGAGCCCTCCGCGTGGCCGATGAACACTCCCGAGTGCTCTGCCGTCGAGAATCTTGATGTGGCCAAGCTCCTTGTGAACGCGCGAGCAACCAAGACCCGCAAGTGGGAGACCGCCGGCTTGCGCCCATGCCAAGCCTCGACGGCGTCGCTGCCGTCGGCGCCTTTGGTAAACAAGCGGTTGAGGATGTAGACGGCCGACACCACCGCCTCTCCCGAAGACAACCGGCATCCCCTCTCGCTTGAGAAGGGCCCGAGCCATTTCCACAACAACCGTCTGTTGCGCTGCTCAATGACGCCGCTTTCTTCGCTGCTGCGTCAGACGGCGCTGCTGTAGTGGCGCGCCGAATGCCCTTAATCAATACATACGACGCGATTCAAATGCAATGTGAATTCGCCGCCGTGAATTGGTTACGCGCCGTTGTCGGTCGCGTAACCTGGCGGACTTCTCACGCGCTCTCGCCTCCATGGCGACTTCTAGCGCGCGCTTGATGGCGTCCGCAACCTCTCCCTTTGCTGCCGAGGATCATCACCCACATGTAGCGGGAGAGGTCGCCGACGACGGCGCAGGAAGTAGCGTCGTCCTCACGGTGTGGCGGTGTCACCGCCACACAAGTCCCCGCACAAGCTCGAGCCTCTCCTTGGCTCGGCTTCGCGCGCCCGGGGGAAGGGGGAGCGCCTCTTCGCCGTCAACACGCAGAGCGTCGCAGAAGCCGCTCCACATGGTCGAGGCACGCGCAGCCTCACACCATCTCCGCAACACCGAGCCGCCGGTGGCCTCAAAGTGAAGGTGCCCGGCAACGCTGTCGTGCCCTCGCCACGCCTCGTCGTCCCGACGAAGCGGCGAGACAGAGGGTTGTGCCACCACCTACGTTAAGGACGTAGAGTCGATTTGCGCTTACGATACCTTGGCAAGAAGGCGGCACGCGGCGATCCCAAATCCTCATGACTCCATCCTCAACCACCACGCGACGAACCGTTCTCATCCAAATTGTCCCCAGGCGATGATGGAGTTCCTCAACGCTGGATGTAGTAGACTCCGGTGAGCGGCTTGTGCTCACCGTGACACGCAGCAGTGAAGATGATGGAGCCGACGCCCTTGATCTCCACGCCGGAGGCATCCCCAAACTTGACGGAGCCTCGGATGCTAGAGTCAAGCTTCGGTGAAGAACTCCGTCGACCGGTCATGTGATGGGTGGCACCGGTGTCAAGGCACCACCCGTCGCCTTGTCGTTCTTTGGAGCCGCGCCGAGGAGGGCGTGTGCTTTTGGCTCGTCAAGGTGGAGGAGAGCGCCGCGGCGGTGCTGCACCGGAGGTAGCTCGATGCTTGCATGTGCCATGATCGAGCCGGCTCCTCCTTCGCTTTGTCTGACGATGGGGGCTGGCCGCGCGTCGTGGTTGTCGGACGATCCTTGGCCCAATGGCCAAAGCCGGCCGCAGATTGCGGCGAGTGTCGTCTCGTCTTGGCTTGTGCTTGCTGCCGTGCGCCGCCGCCACAAGCCTCACGCGCATCATCACCCTCGGCACGCGTCCTCGCGCCCCGACCTGGGCGTCTCTGCGCGCCTTGCGCGGCTTGCCACGCTTGCGGCCGCCTGTCGCGGAAGAAGGCTCCCCCTTCTTCCGGTCACCTTGGCAGGCAACCCACTACTCCCGAGTGAGAAGGAGCTTCCCGCCAGTGGTGATGGGCCCCGAGAGAGACTGTGGCTCATCGCTGTCGACGACCTTGAGGCGACCTATCGCCTCCTCGATCGACATCGTGGAGAGATCCAGCAGGAACTCGATCGAGCGAGCCATCTGCTTGTACTTCTCTTGGGGGCCAGCGGAAGAGCTTTTCGACGCTCTCTCCTCGCCGTAGGTGTCATCGCCGAATCGCACCATCTTCTCGCAATGCAGTGTTGAGACGGAGAGCAAAGTCATCAACGTCCTCACACGGCTTGAAGGCGTGTTCTCCCATTCCTTGCGAAGTGCTTGCGGTGTGGACTTGCGCGCGCGCGATCGGCTGCCGTCGCGCGTTGCGCAGCGATGGCGTCCCAAGCCTCCTTGGCGATCCGCTTGTTGGTAAGCGAGAATCGCATCTCGGGCGGGATCTGCGGCGATGAGGGCATCCAGCGCCCGTCGATCCCGGTCGTAGTCGCCGCACCGGACTGCCTCCCACATGTGCCGCACCTGGAGCTTTACCCTCATCACCGCAGCCCACTCGACGTAGTTGGTCTTAGTGAGGGTAGGCCACCCACCGCCGGGGCCGACGTTCCCTACAACGTACTGGAGCCCGTGGTAACCATGGTACCGATCCGGGAGAGAGAACCCACGCCGCACTGTGAAGGCCGCGCTCTCCATCGACCCGTCCCGCCATCATTGCCGCGTGCGCCCCTCCAGAGCGCCACCGCCGTCGCGCGCCTCCTCCAGAGCGCCGTCGGCGGCGCGTCTGCTTTGCCTGCGCCGCCGCTGCGCGCGTGGCGTCTTGGCGCCCCATCATCGCCGCCACGCCACGCCGCCCCTCCCCAAAGCAGCCGAGGTCCGCGTCGGCGCTGCCGTTAGCAACGTAAACGGCTGCTCTTTGCCGCCTGAGCCTCTCGACCTCGACCGCTGCCGCATGCACGCATCGCCGCCGCCGCCCGCTGCCGCTCGCTCTGGCTGCCTGCCACTCACCTGCTTCCCGACCTCGACGCGCACTTACGCCGCCAGGCCGATCTCTGCCGCCGCTTCGTCACGTTCTCTGCCAGCAAAGTTCGGCCTCCTCTGACGCCACAGGCGTGCTCGAGGCGACCGAAGCCGAGATCGCCTGCGGACATGACGCGCTACTGGGGGCTGCTGCGTGGGGAGAGGGTGCCTGAGACGAGCTGCAGAGGAGAGGAGGAGGCAGAGCGCGGGAGGCTGCTTCTTTGCTCCAGTTGAAATTGGGCCGCTTGTGCTGGGAAAGGAGATGAGCGAGAGATGAGCAGAGATGCTCTCTGAGGATAGTCTGGCTCGATACTGGGTTGTTAGTCGCTGAATTCTTATTCTTGGTAGTAGCAGAATTCTTACTCTCATCGAGAGAGGATGACACTAGGAGTTGAGGCAATTTTCTGGTTTATTTCTCACACAAATGCCATACCAACCTAAGGGTTTGGGGATACATATTTATAGGCTGCTAGCCAGCCAAGCATATGCCAAGATGTTGTCCTAGATGCTAGTCCTAGATGCTAAGTCCTAGATGCTAAGATGCTGTCCTCCAGTCAAGGATGCTGCTGCTGCTGTCCTCCAGTCAAGGATGCTGCTGCTGCTGTCCTCCAGTCAGGGAGACCATATGCTGCAGCCTCACAAAGACCAGCCAACACAGAGACTTATCCCATCACACCAACTCTGTGGCGCCAGCCCACCTAAGACCCCGTCAGCACCTCTACTGCCAATTATGTCAAAGACACAGGAGCCATGAGGCAACAAGCACCTAGCCACCAAGATTGCCTTTTGTAATACCAACTGTTTTCTCACTAGATAAATGGCATCTTAGAATACAAATGGAAATGTGAGATATAGAATCAACAAATGGAAGGTGATTTACCTGAAGGAGATGTCGTAATAAACAATGCAATATTGTTTGGGCTTGAGGTGAAGGCTCAAAGCATGGAAACTCCGCAGTTGAGAAGGACATTCTCTGAGAAACACCAACAACCACACCAACGTTTGGAAGAAGACCAAGAGGATACACCTCACGATCAAACTCAAGCTCCGGATCCAACTACAGTATCACATGACAAGCATTTATAACTAGCTGTTAATATCATCATCATGAGTCTTCAACGAATTTTTTTAAAAAAGGAACAGAATATGGAAATATTATGACTGCAGCAAGTTCCACATAAAGGTGGAAAAACTTAAAACAGATATTCACAATTATCTCATGATAGAAACTTATACCTGCAAAAAATCCTCTTGCTTAAAAGGATCTGCTCCATGTGATGGGTACCACACCTGCAACAGCTATGTTTATAAAAGGGTAGAAAGGGATATTTGAAAAATAACTATCCCCTAAAAGAGGCATCTATGGTGAAGCGATTATGTGCAAAATAATAAGATCAATCTAACCTGCATACCCCGATGACCATAGTCAAGCCATGAAACCTCTTTGATAAGACTACCCTTCTCTTCAAATTGGGAACAAGTGACCCAAAAGAGTTCAATTGAATTTGTGAGAGCATGTTCATGTCCATCATCCATGTCAAGCACAGAAAGCTCCCCATTGGTCCGCAAGATCAAACATCTGATATCATAAATAAATAAATAAATAAATAACAATAATAAAGACAAAGGAGAAAAGGATTGTGTAACATTATGGGGGAGAAAAGTACCTTGATGGTTGCTGCGACAAAAGATCAGAGGATCCATTAGTATCTCCTTTCAGCACTCCTTTGTCATTTTGTTCAGGAATGAAGCACATTGAAACAGGTGGGCTCTTTGGACTCATGATTGAAAGTTCTCGCACTGTTGAAAGCTGTTCATCCATACAAAGAATAAAAATAACTATTCACAGAGAAAAATTGGAAACACGTTCTGAATAGGGGTTGCAAATTTCTTTCACGACGGACATTACCTGTAAAACTGGATTGCTAGCAGGTGACAATTCTCCCGAGATCATCACATGGAAGATATGCACATCAAATGGACTGTAAGTAACTAATATATAATCCTGGAAAACATCCATGACAATTGGCCTTCCAAGCAGTGGTTTCCGGTAGAGTAAAGAGCTATAATCAAGATGATATCTTGGGAAAAAGAGAAGCTCGTACCTGAGCCAAAAGAATGAAACATGTCTGTGACTAAAATATATTGTAATTAGAAAGGCAGTGGAGGCCTAAGTTAATAAATGAGATAAAAATATAAGCAGAAAAATGCAGTTCAGCTAGTACTTCAAGGAACACCAGTTCAATGCAAGAAACTCCCATATTGCGAGCTTTCTCCCATGCTCAACCAGAAAAGGTGAGCCTTCGTCCCCGTTTGGCACTGCTCCAAACGGTTCCCGCTCCTTGCTACAGTGCGCATAGGAGCCTGAGCTAGTGAAGCCAAAAATAGTGGCTTCACCAGCTCCTAGCTCATTTTGAGAAAAGAGAAAAACGGCTCCTTGCTACAGTGCATTGAGGAGCTGGAGCCAAAGCCGACCAAAGCTCCACCAAACGGGGCCAAGTCAGTTACAAGATAGGAATAGCAAGGAAGTTGGTATACAAGTGAGAACTCACGTGTTTGACGATTCAACATAGTTGCACACAATAACAATTTTTCCCAGCCACAAAAGGCCTTTGCATTGGATCTTTTGCTCTTGTGTAACATCACCAAAAAACCGCCACCTTTTATTTCGCAAATCATATAGCACTAGCCCGTGAGAGCCAGCAACTGCCAAGTACATCCCATCATTGCTTGCCACCACATGTAGAACTGGCCAATTCTGGGAAATGTATGAAACCTACTTTGAAAAGTATATATTATTATCATAAAAATGCATCATCAAACAATAGAGGTTGCAGCATTTTAACCCCTCAAATAAATCAAAGGCAAAGAAGTTAACACTTAACTGGAACATTAAGATGCAATATCTTCAGTTCATCAGCATCATCCGGTTGCACCAAAAGGATTCGATCTTCCCCATAAAGAACCTGATGGGAATATGTTGTGCCTGAAAGCCCTCTGTTTAGGCAACATTTGGCAAATGAGAAAGCAAGAACCCTTTCTGACAAGCTTTCTTCGACAGCAAATAACTTATATCCATTATCATCCCATTGAATGTGTGATGTTCCTCCCATAAGAGGCTCAAATTTTAGAGCGCTAGGTTTCACCATTGGAGATGAGACAGAATTTGAACCAGTTTGACGAATAGTACACATTAACCGACATCCAGACACAGACCATACAGTAAGTCCCCTAAATTTCCACCCGACTGCAAAAGCACAATTGTCAGGCGTCCAAGATATACAGGCAACAGGACCGGTATCTTCCACTGAATACCTACAATTTTTTACCCAAAAAAGAAGGAAAAAGAGTAGTTACAGCTCAGCTTAAAATAGAATAACCAAAAAGTAGAGCTGTGTGAACTGGCATGGTTACACCTTAACCACAGAAGGTTCACGAAATGTTAAACAATTGACAACTCTAGGGAAAAGGAAATGATCCAAGCCTAAACACAAGACAACAACATAATGCTAAAAATATTTTATCTAGACAAAGTGCCAGGCAGGGTTGTCTCACAAATTAGCATAGGATTTGAAATCAACTGCCAGAAATTTAGGCAGTCAAAAACAGAAGTATCCATGTAACAGCTACTATAGCTCGTGAACAATAAAATACCATGCGAGACTTACCCCCAATCATACAACGAAATGGTTCGTATATGCCGCGTGTTTTCTGCCAGATCATACAATTCAACAACACCTCTACTGCACCCGACAGCAAGAATCTGTTGCTCAGAAGCCACAGAAGTACACATCGCATCATCAGTGTCCAACCATCTCTCCACTCTGATGCCGCCAGGCTGCCTTAATCCCTTCTTACCAATAGTACAGAGGGCAATGCGACAGCCTGAGTACAAAGCAACCAGCAACCTTAGCTTCACCGACAGCTCAACATGGACAATAGAAGAATTGCCTGTGCAGCAAGGAGCAGGCCTTGCGTTAGAGTTTTCTCGCAAACTGGGAGGATCAAACACCAACGCATCTACGACAGCAGTAGGTTTCTCAGACGAACACACAGAGCAACCAAGCTTGAAGCTGTCTGAGAACTGGCAAGCAACAACAAAATACATAGACAACACTTAGCATAGCAAGTAGGAAGAGCGGGTACAGCAGACCTATATTTCGCACCTAATAATCAGTAACTTACAATAAACAAAAGTTGCATGCATTTCCATGTACCTCAGCGTTCCAGGACACGACCTGCACATGCCCATTGGATAGTCCGAGGAGCATGCTTTTGCTGTCACACACGAAATTACTCCTGCAACACGAGATCAAACTTACAAGTCAGCTCCCCTGCGGTAGTGGAGCACCTCATTTTGTATGTAGAGGAAGAGTTAAGGAGCGGCGAACACAGTACGTTATAGCAACGCCATTGGCGAGAGGAACCTTCTCGGTGATGATTAGGGATATACTAGCCAGGCAAAGCCCGGGGACCTGCTTGCCACCGACGATCAGTTGCTTCCCCGAGTGCTGAACCTTGTAAACGTAGAGGTAGAAGGAAGAGGTCTGCACACAGCACACAGAAACAGCATGGTGAGTCTGCCGCTCGCGGCGGGAGCGAGCGAAGTGGTCCGGGAGGGGGAAGTGGGCTGACCAGGACGGCGACGGTCTTGGCGTCGGGGCTCCACACGGCGTGCGCGTTGTGACCGTGGGCGGCGAGGGACTCCGGGGAGCGGTCGGAGCGGGCTAGGCGGACCCGGTGCTGCGCGGCGGACCAGAGGTGGAGCGAGGCCGGGCAGACGGCGAGGAGGAGGCGGCCGAGCACGCGGAGGAGGACCACGCGGTCCGAGTCGCCCGGGTCCAGCGGGATCGACTGCGGCCACCCGTACGCCAGGTACATCGCGGCGGCGGCGGGCGCGCGCCCCCTCGCCGGTCGCTGGCGGGCGAGATGCGGGGCGGGGAGATCTGGAAGGAAAGGGGAGTTGGCTGGTGGCCGGTGCGATGCGGGCGATGCAGCAGTTTTTTTTGGCTTTGTTTTTTCTCTTTTTTTTCCAGGGCAGTTTTAAATCTTTGCTTCAGAATTGAAGATCAGATGGCGGGTTAGCGTCGGAGGCAAAACACCATCGAGCAGATGCTGCCTGCCGTTGCGTCCGATCCGGTACCAGGCGAACCGATCGAGCATTAGCTGCAGCGCTAGCTCAAACATTGAGGGCCTGTTTACATCCAACTCAAAATCTAAAAATTTTCAAGATTCTCCGTCACATCAAATCTTACGGCACATGCATAGAGCATTAAATATAGATAAAAAGAATAACTAATTGCACAGATCAGACGAAATCCACGAGACAAATCTTTTAAGCCTAATTAGACTATGATTAAACACTAATTACCAAATAACAACGAAAGTGCTACAATAGCCAAAAGCTAAAAAATTTCACATCTAAACGGGGCCTGACTCGAACACAGGTTTGGTGCTGCATCGAAGCACGCTACGTGAATTCCAGTTTTGGTACCATACCTGACGGTTGGAACGGCAAATCATGATGTCACGTGCAGCTAATTTGTACAGGATTATTATGTTCGTGTATCACTGTGAATTTATTGTGCAATCGCAAGTTGCTGCTACAATATTACAAGAATGAGTCCGTGATTCAGATTTCTGATTGTGTGGCTCGTTGCAACGAGATCCTCAATAATGCTATCAGGAAAAGGTCTACTCTATAGTTGAGGGGGTTATGTAGACCACTCCATAGTTGGGGATAGAGTAGACTTTTTCCAATGCTATCACCAATCGCCAAAAACAAAAACAAAATCATAATATAATCATGGTTATGAATCAGCCAAATGGTATATCGTGGATATATCATGACATGCATGTATTAAATTGCATCATTGAACATTACTCTAGTATGTGAACCATTAAAATGCTAATCTAACTTTTTAAATTGTTACATATTTTCTCCAATCACAGATAAGTACTTCTCCCATTTTAAACTGTAAGTTATTCTAACTTTCTTTAATATCTATGTATCCAAAAAAGTCAGAACGACTTCTATTTTTTTAAAACTACATATTAAAAAAGTCAGAACGACTTATAATTTAGAAATGTAGGGAATAATGTTTTAAAATTTTATGAAGTTGATCATTTCAAGCTCTGACCACAAATTACATTACTTGTTAAGAGTAAAATTAGGACTCATTTGGTGTGGCTCTAGAGGCTCCAGCTCCTCTGCTATAGCACTATTTTAATGCTACTAACCATCCACACCCAGCTCTGCTGGCTCCTCCATTCACCAGTTCATTTTTAGCCTATTGGAACCAGATGCATATGAAGCCAGAGCCCCTAGAAGCTCTATTTAGATATCAAATGACCCTTTAAAACAAATTTAGTAGTTAATATTTAAAATGGTTGGCTTCATACAACTATAAAAGTCACCTATTTGTAACGTGACACCAGAAGGAGCAGGTCACTCAAGGTCCTATAGTGTTCATGGTCACTTTTGTAATCGTCTATGTAGCACACCAGTGTGCCACCTAATATGAAGAGTCCACCTAGCAATGCGATACCTCTCCGGTTTCATCAATCTCCTCTCTTTCATTGGTCAATGGCACACCAACCTGCACCTAATATGAAGGGTTCACTAAATTGTTTTCCCGCGTTCTAAAGAGTCCCCGAAGGATTGAAGGTTTGATGGCTAATGACAACAATGTGTTGGATTCTGCGTACGTGGCACATGTGGGCAGTAGACTGGTATACCCTGAAGGATTGAAGATCTGATGGCTAGTCCGCTAGTGGCAACAAAGGGTTGGACTCTCAATGTGCCACGCTTGCGTACGTGGCACATGCAGACAGTAAGCTGGTATAAAGTGGGCCGTTTAAAATACGAACTTTTTTTTCTTTGGATCCTACGCTTTTTTATGAAATTGAAAAGATTCTTATAAAATTGCTACGTCCTATGAAATTACTGCGTAGGGCCTAGTTTAGAGCTAGAGACGGTGCAAGACAAGTTTAAACAATGTATTTTACCAAGTAAGTACTCCCTCGGACCACAAGTCCACATAAGAATGCAATTCTCACTTCTCGAGAAATCAATCAGTTTAAACTTTAACCAAAATTATATAAAAAAAAATACTAACACTCCTGATGCAAAATTAGTATCATTTGATTAGTCATAAAATATATTTTTATAATAAATTTATTTGAAGACATAAATATTAATACTATTTGCTATAAACTTGATCAAACTTAGCTATTTTGATCGGCACGGATCCCATAATTACATTCTTTTCTGGACGAAGATAGTACATTAGTAGCTCGAACGATAAAAGAATGAACATAAAATGTTTTCTTTTTACATATCAGCCCTAGTAACCATCAAGATTTGAGAGACTCTTTTGCACGTTGACCTTACCACTAGATTTGTAACACAACTACACAAGTACTCATTATAACACAACGCGATCAGAAATGAGTGATTAAATCAAAGATATCACGACACCATTTCCCATTTGGCACGATTTCCAGATAACCACGATGGAGTCCAACATGCAGTGCCCACACATCTGGATGACTGTTTAATAAGCCCTAAAAGCGGCTGCGCACCTGTTAACACACTGACAGAACCCGAGCATGCACTGCATTGCCGTGAAAACGAGAGAGAACGTTTCCGTACATATTGCTATCTCCGGGCTTCTGCCTCCAGCGCAAGAAGACAGCAGACAATGCTGAAGCTGAATTCTTTTCACTCAAATGGCTGAGCTGACGGTGAAGAAATTGGATAATAATCACTCCATATCTGAAATTTCATCCCCCTCCTCTTCCTCATCCTCATCAAGGATATAAACCAAGGCATGCCTCCGAGATGAAAAGACACAGGCTACTCCTCTTGATGCTGCATAAAACGATCAGAGAAGGAAGCGCCAGGAGTTACACTATATATCTATATTGTAATGACAAATAAGATTCCTACATAGAAAATTCATGCTCGACATACCACTGACTGCAAGTGGAGTAGATACTGTGTGAGGTATGCTACGAACTTTCCCATAATCTGTGTCCAATTGCAGATCTAGTGCCTGCAAGTGTCGTGACAGGAAAGAAGAAAATATATTAGTACCATTTCCATTTAACAGAAAAGGTAAGGTCATAATTACTAACGAGTAATAAAATAGCACAAAATTAAGTTGTTGCTAGTACACCAATTCGAAGACATCACTGATGATTATATAGAGAGCTGCTATGAAATTAAGTATATAGCAGGAGATCAAACATAGAGGAAACAAGAATTATTACCACTAGTTTTTGCAAACTGTAAATATTTGCAGGGAATGTTCCTGAGAGTGGCATAAAGGAAAAGTTCTCTGTCTGCAACATCACCATCCAAGATTTTGCAGGGCTATCAGAACAAGACGTTTCACTCAGTAGTAAAACTACCTGGTTGTCCTGTTTGAAAAATGGGTAATTATTATTTTTGCAAGCTATGCCAAGTATTGTGCAAAAACTGGAATATTGTCTGAACAGATACAACATGAGTACCTTATAAAGTGACAGGTCAACACACTCATATTCGTCAGGTATATGCAACAGAAAACCTGAAAGGGACGTCATGCTGAGGGCAGTACAACAGTTACCAGAGTCCTTTATCACACCGATGCAATTTCTTTTATTTAATGATCCATCAGGTATCTTGAAGCATACATAGTCAGTCAAGCTATAGGAGGATTCCTCATGCGATGAATCTTCATCCTGTTTTTTAAGTAACGATGGTTACAAATTATGAAGAACAACATCATCATCGATGCAAGGTATGTACATGAGTTCCAGACAGGCATAGTAGCAAATAATAACTTAATGACTATGCTTTACTTTATGAACATGGTGCGTACAGGATGCAGGTAATGATGAGCACTTGTCAAAAATCACTAAAGAGAACATGAACCTTATAAAATGATATTGATGTTGGCATGCAGGATGATGACAAGGTAGCTGATGATGTAACAGGGTATAAAGGAAGCAATCCTTGACATTGTATCTGCGAAGAGATAGTGGTAAATGGCATCAAGAAAGCCTCCTTCAAGCTGAAATGGATGACAACAGAAGTGGTAAGTGCAGCATAAACAACGTTAGCCAAAGGCAAGGAGCAACACATTTGAAATTTTTACTGTGGAAAGTGAAAATACAAAGACATGATAAAATATTGAATGTTCAAGTAACAACAATGTTAGTCAAAACAAGTACGATAGATGAAATATCAAACTCAAGCAATGGAGAACATATAACTGGTACAAATTTCTAAGTTATAAAATGACTCACCTAACTTCCAATTCATTGAATTGTTTTACCAAACTCTTTTCCAAAAATTGGGTGTCTGTAAATCCTCCAAAAACTACTAGTTGCTCTACATGTCTTGCAGTATCCCTGAAAACCCATGTTGAACAAAAACAATAAATGTGGGAAGCCAGCTAAACTAAATAATGATGGCAAAAACACATATAGAAACAAACAACGGCTCCATGTGATTGAGTGACTTTTAATAACATTTGCTGGTTTGGACACAGGATTCATATATCTTTTTTCTCTCGAACCAGCTGGAGAGCTGCTCATCATTATAGAAGAGGAAAAATAAAGTACAAACAGCTGGAATGAATCCAGCAAAACAAGAGAACATACACAACGCGCCCAAAAAACCATAGCACACATCACATATGGCTCAAACAGGATTCATGGACCATATATTCCAAGATCTTCAATAACTGGCTCCAGAGGACAATGCATTTTCCAACACCAAGATACCAAGTGTAGAAAAAAAAACTAAAAATTGCAAATTTCAGAAGTAATTCCTGGCATTTATAAAATTCATGGTAGAACACACCAATCATGTCAGGCTATAACATTCTTATGTACATTTAACCCTACTGGAGGGTTTGACATGTGCATGACAGTTATCTTATTACAAAACAATGAAAGAATATAATTTAGTAACACTTTTTAACTTTTACACAGGAAATATACGACAGAAAGTGGAATGTTACTTACATATCACACTCAATTCTCTCATCTGCTTCAAGTAGCTGTTTGATTGGATCCTTATCAAGAAGGAACTTAAGAAAAATCACCACAAGTTCACTACAAAGGATGAGACCTGGTAATTAATAACAAAATATTGATACATGATTTGTGAATCAAGAGAATAACAGGAAAAAAGGACTAACCTGTTTGCTGCTGGAACTTGGTCGGTAGGCTCATTTAATAATATTTTAACAGACTTTAAAACCCAGGCGAAGAAATTTTGAAACTGGGAAACAGTTAACAATGGTAGTTAGTTACTATAGAGTATAGAATAAACCCGCCAACATATTATCACCACCAACCATGATGCATAGAGGATAGAGCATAGAAACACATACTATAGCACAAACACAATGCACATCAAATAGCATGTGACTAATAAAAGCACGATCAATGCATAAATGATATTGGTAACCGTAGATTCAATTAGGTGTATCAAAATCTACAGATTGATTTGAAGATGCTGCATGCACAAAGATGTCATATTTGGATCCACAAGGCCAGCAGAATTTAGGTACTAAGAAAACTAAATTTTGGGGAAAACTATTGGAACATAATTGGTTGTTCAAACATTCACTGGCAAATGGTAGGCAACTGCAGAAATATTTGTTCAGCCTACTACTCGAATAAACAGAGTCAATAGGATGAATCTGTTTAGCACACTTTGGTCATTAAAAGAAATTGGACATTATTTAGGTAGGAGGTAGGAGCTTCATTTTCAAAAGATTAAAAAAAAACTAATTCAAACGGAGGTACTAGAATATGCAAAAGGAAAATAGAAAGGTACCAGATAAACAACAGTAGCTGCAACCCTTGAAAAGCGCTCAACTTGAACAACTAACATCCCTATACTCTCAGTGACACCATCAATAAGCTTTTCATCCAACCCGATAATTTGAAATCGTGAACGCCATCTTGCAAGGCCTCTTAATTCTGCGAGTCTGAATGAAATAATCTCCACTGCAGGCTGTAAATAAAGAACATAAATAAGAAGGCGCTCAATTTTTGCAATAGAAACTAAGGAAAAAGGTACATGTACTGTAATACTTGTTAGTCCAGCAAAATTATATGACCTTGAATTTAGGGAATCACATAATTAGTTATATTTTCATGCAGAAAATCCAGTTTGACGTCCCTAACTAGTAAAATGCTAAGAAAGCTCTGTGGCATCAGTAGGTAGTAGCTGACCTGAAGATGCTCAGTGATAATGCCACGAATATCTCTTCCAGCACTGTCAACAGCCTTGGCTATCCTCTTGAGACCCTACCCACACATGAATGACAATTGAGGGAGTCTCACAAAACAAGTTACAGAAGTGGTAGGAGCAACAATTACCGCTTCACCAAGTGAACTAGCTAAAAATTGGTGAAGTGCTGGACTTGTTCGTGTCCCAAACAAAAGGCTCAGAAACTCATCCTCAGAACTAGATTCCACTCCTGTAAGCATATAGAAATTTTCATGTTAGAAACTTTCAGCTATGGAAGAATGAAGGCACAAATTTCCTGATGCTTATGGTTCAAGAGAAACCATCATACCATGTGCAGATATCAGATTGGGCAAGGCACTAAATTTCTCATGAAATAAACTCATGGCGTTTGACCATTGTTTGGATATTAAAGATACAGAAGCACGGACAACTTCGACCAGATCTTGAATACTTGATGCTTGTTGGGACACCTGATGCAGCTCATTTTTTCTTTACAGCATTTATGGATGATAAATACAAATTTTAGTACATGACAATAATAAGCATAAATTCATACACAGACAAAGAGTTTATCAATGAAATACTTTGGGTATGTTTTTAGTAATGAAATTGTGCATGTTTCTATAAAACCTAATTGTAGTGCGTAAAGCAAGTCATGGGCCCATTAAAAGATAGGTAATTCTAGAACTAAATGTGGATCTTAATATAGAACTCAGCATACAAGACAACAAGATATGGTTTCTGAACAAGGAAGGAAGGAAGGAAGTACAACTCAATGAAACAATTATGTCATTACCGGTTGAAGAAGATAGAAGTATCTAGGTAGAGACAATGTAATCCAGAACTTTCGCAGCTGTGAGAAAGGTTGTCGGTGTCAACCAACTTTCCAAAGCACAGAAGAACCAATTTCTGGAGGTTTCTTGATAAAGAGACCTGATATAAGAAAAATGAGTGCACATAATCTCTTTTTTCTTAAATGAAAGTGCACACGATCTCATCTCTAGGAGATTAACATGCGCATCGGAAACTAAGCATCAATTACCTTGCTGACTGAAGCATCCTGGAGTTGGTAACTCTTTCCAGAAGATCCAACATTGATTGGGATTTTAGTTATGTTCTGAAATTTCAAAGGCATAAAGCTACTGGTTCATAGAGCATTGAACTGGACAAAGAACAATCATAAAAAATGACACAGAAAATTGGCAATGATTGCTGAAATGCCCATAGGTTCAACCCTTGAGATTGCACAGGACAGTAAATAAAGATGCAAATGCATAAAATAAGTGAAACTTCTACTCTCATATTAAACCACCAGCTTGTCAACACATGGAAAAGAAGATGAATTGTAAATGGTCAGATACTCAGATGACACCTAGAGTTTGTTGTGAGTCTGCCACTAATAACAATAGCCAAGCCTAAAAGGCTAGGGCTCAACTTCTGTTTGCTTTGTTTAAATTGAGCATATTAACTTCACAAAATATCTCTGTGTAGAACAGATTTCCAGATGAGCTGTTAGGGTAGAAAGGTCTCCAGAACCAATAACAGGAAACATTGAAGCAGGAAAAAGCATGCATGACAGACTAATTTTTGTTGAGTTCAAATTATGGATAACTGAGTCACTGTATTTACTTACTATCATTCCAACAGGAAATATTCCAAAAATGCTGAAGCAAACACAACCATCTTTGCCACCACTGCACAGAATATTAAAACGCTGACAGGAAGCACTAGAAAATTCTGGAATAGCTTCTTCGTTCTCATCCGCAATACCAGTATCTCCAGAACTTAGTCCACCTATCCTAGGCATCACAGGAGCAGGAGGAAAGAAACGTGTGGTGCGGTCTTCATAGGATAAAAACTCATCCTTGTCAGGCTGAATAAATTAGCAGAAGGCTCAGTAATGAGAAGTTTTAGTAGAGACCTAAACTAATTTTGATTAGAGCTGAAACTTTTCATGACTACACATGTGTTACTATATGATGTTTAAAATTGGACGGCGCTATATTTTTATATTACAATGAGATGCAACAATAAGATGGCAAAGGCAATAGCATACCCTTGACAGTGGATCGTCTTCTGCCCAATTCAAACATACAATGGCAACATCGTGGGATTTTGTAGTTCTTAGCATCTTCCCGTTCTGCAATGAGATTTCTATTCAGTTATAAATGCACAAAGTGACAGTGTAAAAGAAAAGTAACAAGTAGATCTTGACAGCATGAGACATTGTTATATTTCCAGATTAACTGACAGTGGCAAGCTGTGCAGATTTTGTCTTATACTCAAATTAAAGCAGGTAGGGAGTATGAAAGATTTACATACACTACTAGTACTAACAATTTGAGTGAAATTGCGAAGAAATTTAATGACACTGCAATACATTTCCCCCTCTGTGTGTGTGATTATAGTGCCAATCAATCGCCTGTACCTAAGCATTTTGGCAGAGTTTTGGGTAAATTCCCCCCACCAAATTATTTTTTAGCCCTTCAAGCTTAACTAGCCATTGAAAGATGGTCAAAGAAAACATTACACTTATTACAGACTACTTGTTGAGTGATGACGTCGATTTGTAAAGTTCGTTTTAATGCAGGCAGCAGGTGGCTAGCTGGAAGCAGGACAAGCTAGCTTTGCAGAGGATGCAAGATACTAAGAGAGCGTCATGGGAAAAGGGTGTATTTCATTTCAAGAAAATATTGTGAGAAGTTTATCATGGAAGAATGAGGTCTTGAGAATCTGCATAGATGTTCAAGCAGTGGCTGCAAGATCCCCAACTGTATGTGATCAAGTGGTCCTGTATGTCAAACACAATCGTATAGCCGGCGCACATTATTCTTCAAGAAGTATTAAAATGCCTCTATTGAAAACATAGTTGGGCAAGAAGTCCTTGAGGCCTGTGTCCCTTAATTGCCTCCTAATAGTTCCCCATAAAGGTTTAGTAAGCATGATATCAAAATGGGAATAAGCAATTAGAAAATTATTAAGAGAAGATAGGCACTGGATCAGGTTTCTATGAAGTATGAATGAATGTTCATACAAAGACACAAAAGGCACCAAGAGTTTTTAATCATCATCCAGATACACACCTCCACATCATGCAAAAGAACCAAACCATCTTCTGTGCCAAGTGCTATTATTTTACCATCAGGGCTCCAACAAATTGATGTGATGCACTTCCCTGAACAATTATAAATACTTTAGTTCTCAGTTTCTCACTTCTCACTACCTTTTGGAAGTTCAAAGCAGACATGATCTTATAAATCACTATAACTACTAAGTAAAAAGGTATAAATGAAGGGCACACTGAGATTGACAGATTGTACATATTGATTGTAAAGACAAGGAACATTCAAAGTGAGTAAAGCAATGGCCATCTGAGGGCAATGGAGTAGGGGTGTACCAACCTGGAGAGATTGTCCATAGCCTTTGCCAATTGAAGCGATGGAGGAGAACCTTGGAGTCATCAGTAACCATAGCAAGCAGATCCTTCTCTGGATTCCATTCTGCCATTTTTATCTACAAGTATGAAACATAGGCACGTCAGTGCCCAATGCCCCCATTTAGCATACATTAAGAATTGGTCCTTGGTCTAAAAAAGCATACATTAAGAAATAGGAACAAAAAACAATGGGAAATTGAATCTCATTGTGCTCAATTGATTCTGAATTACAGAAATGATATAAGGCGACAAAAGGTGAAATTCAGTGTCAGCAACCGTATGATATATGTGCTTGCTATTAACTTCTCTGTTACTTAAGGAATGCTTTTTTAGCGAATTATAAACACGATACAAGATGAATGAGACGGATTAAACATGAACAAGAGTAAACGGTGCAATCACTAAAGTGCATTTGCCAACAAAAATTAGCACTCAAAGCTGAAATCAGTGCTCCATATCAGTGAAATACTGAAATAGCACCTCACGACTTACAGAGAGTTCAGACCAACCAGTTCCCACTGAACCCAACAGCATCCCTGTCAACTCTGCACAGCGACAGTAGGATCCGACTTAATCCTCGTAGGAATTTCAACAAACAACAGTTGGGACGCACGCAACGCTCGGCAGCAGCAACCCAAGGATCCAGCCGCCACTTCTCGTGAACTGGCCATTGCTCTCGACGGCGTGAACCCAAGAGGCCGCACACTATTTTGTAGCCTCAGCACATGTTGGTTAAGAATCAGAACAGCACGAACTCGTACACACAGCGTTTGGCTACGCAGAAGGGGGAGGCGGGGGAGGAGGGCGGAGGCTAGACCTGGGACGGGATGGGCTTGTCGAACTGGAGCTGGAACGGCGTGGACGCCGCCGCGGCCGTGGACGCATCCTCCATCTGCTCCTCCGCCATGCCCGGCGTCCGTCGAGGACCGTGAGAAGAAGGGAGGGATTTTGTTGGGGGAAAACTCCTTTTGAGCGGGCGGGCGCGAATGGCGACGGCGATTGCGAGCGGCGATGCCGGCGAGGCACCGAGACGCGGAGAGAGGGGTTGGGCAATTGGGCTTGAAAAAATTTTGGGGCAAAAGCAGGCCGTCAGCAGTTATGGCCTATACTAAGCCCAGTGGTTACGGCCCACGTTTCTGTTTTGCAAATGCAAGCGCTACTGAGCATGTCCGGTAGTACTCAATATTTTCTTCCTCAAAAAACGCTTAGTTTTACGACTCCCAGACGATCATGTCAAAAGTTTCTAATAATCCACTCCCTAAAATATAAAAGATAATTTTACATCATAAATCATATACTATTTCTAAATTATTCTTTCTACACCCTTTCACATTTAGATTGGCCGACAAACACACGCGGGAGAGAAGATACGCGTGACTCGAAAGCGCGTAACTTTACATAGAATATGGTGACTTTTCTTAAGTTCTAAAAGATTAAGAGGATGGATTATGAGTTATTGAAGATGCGTTTTTCTCATCTTACTAAAAACCAATGATTAGGAAGGATTTAGGGAACTCTTAAGATGCTCTAATATGGTCTTTGAAATGATTTAAAGATCAACCTATATATACAATTAATTTCCTTCCTTTTACAATTTTATTGTATTAATTTCAAGATAAACAAAACAAAGCTTGTAATTTGCATAGCAGAAATCGTATATAATGGTAAGAGAGTTACTCCAAAAAAATCAGCTCATGAGACAGTTGCTTCACAAAATTTTCTCACCTTTTTCTCCCCCTTTCATAAAAAATTATATACAACACTGCATCAGACGATCTGATCATTTGTACTAGACATCTCTCCCCCACATCATTAAAAAAATCGTAAACGACACTGCATTAGACGATTTGATCATTGTCAGTATTAGACGATTTGATCATTGGCAGACGATCTATGAGATCATTGGTAAGCACTTGTCGTTAGAAAATTCACTGTGGGAATTGAAGCTAAAAGCTATATGACGCTCTTAAATAAACTTCATGTAGAAACTAATTCTTTGTAAGTAAATCAGAAGAAGATAGCCATTTAACTATCACACTGACAGCCTCATAATCATTTCGTACAATCAATGTTTATATGTTAAAACTAATTTAGGAGAACCAATAGAACTAGAAACCATGCGTGACGTTTGTGGCAGAACCATCCGAAATAGCATGTTTTCGGAGACGCTCGTCTTCCACCAAATACTAAGCACTCCGAGAGTAAGCTATATCGGACCGTTCCGTCGAGCACACCCAAGGAAGAACTCGAATAATCCATGTTTTCCCTCCAGGATCCAATAATAAGAACGAGTTTACAATACTTAGTCAATTTCATACAACCAGAGTTCTTAGAAATACATTATTACAATATCAAGTTCAGAGTGCGAAATTTAAACAGCGGAATTACAATAAACATCTAACGATAAGATACAAGGATCCGTCTGTGCCCACCAGAAAAATCCTCCACGCAACAGCTACTCGTCAAGCTGCACCTGCAACAGGGGTAATTAAACTCTGAGTACACAATGTACTCGCAAGACTTACCCGACTAGTGAGAATAATTTCCTGACTCCAAATAATATGATAAGCTTTATGATTCGTTGGGTTTCCTTTTTGCGAAAAGCCTTACTAGTAGTGAATCCTTGTATATGTTTTTATTAGCAATCATGATTAGTTCATTATCTAGCCATTCTATGTAAGCATATATTCTACTTTCGAGCAAGAGTTGAGCAATCAGATCCATTTCATCATCTTTTATCTTCCAGTTCTTACTACGTGCTAGATCGTAGACAAGTCGTACCGTATTACACGGTGATTCGCGAACAAATATAGTCCAACTGGGTACCCCGAAACACACGCCCTACTTGTACCCCAAGCACAAGCAGGACCGACCCACCATTCTCCTGTCAAGGGGTCTAGGTCTCCATCCAAACTTAGACTCCAAGCCCCCACACATGAGTCCCGGACTCAGTATGGTGTTTAGACCTCCACCATCCCCGCCTCCAATCAGTCAGTCCGGAAAGAGACATAACCCACGATAAGAGAGCAACGAGCCTTCCCTGCTCCCATAAACAAGTATGTGCTCAGGATAATAAGTCTGTGATCTGGCTAGAATCCAATGCAACGGCCGGTCCTTAACCGACACGGATAGATAAAACAGTGTAACCAAGCTATGCCCCGTTAATCGCGGGACACAACCTCTTACATCACCAATACCCATACCATATCCCTGCCCGGTCTCCATTTCCTTCACCATTTTATCATAAGAGTGATAATAATAATCACCTATTGTGAGTAACGGCAGGTTATTCACGCTACCGATAGCCTAAGCATATCAGCTACTCGACCTATGATAGAAGAACTCCTGGGTAGGTATATCTATGCATGTAGTTTTATTATAAATCCTGTAACGTAAATGCACATCACATATACATATAAATATATATAGGGAGAGTACATTCAGTCAGCTACAAAATAAGTTATTCTGTAGCCACCTCCATTTACGATAATTTTATATACTAATTTACGATAATGTCAATACATATTTACGATAGTTGAGTTACTGTAACATATGAGTATATTTACTATAACGTTATAGTAAACCACTTAGCAAGGAGTTACTATAATCTCGTAAATTAACATAGTAATTATCGTAACTCAAAGTGGCTACAAAATAGTATTTTAGCAACAGCAGCTCCTAAATTAAAAATACACATGGTAAACTACTAAGCTATCTCTAATGACTATGATACTAAGCTAACTATCATCTTTATCAAGTAAAGTGTTGGGTTCAACTAACAAACACTTAGCTTTACAAATGAATGATATCTTTATTTCTACTAATGATTTAATGTATATTTGAAACAAAGAGCATTTAACTACCCTTATGTTATGTCTATTCTAAAGCTACAAAAATTATAGTGAGCACATAATAATACCATGAAACTACTGTAAAAAATTCAAAGCTACAACTATTACCATATTGCCACAAAAATTCCTACAATATTTAACCTAATAATATCAAGCACTCTCAAATGATTTAATAGTTCCTGGTATCAACATATATATATATATATGAACTAAATACACCAATAGATATAGCACAATTTTAGGAACTAACAAAATTAGTTTCACAATTTTTGGATACCTACAAGATTTTATATGATTTACCAAAGTTTAGCTCAGAATTAAAATGAAAAGTTATTTCTATTCTCCACAAAAAAGATAAACTCAATTCGGCCCAACGCGGCCCACGCGGCGCAACGCGCGCGCGAGCGTGCGGCGGCCCACAGGCGAGGCGAGGCCCACACGCGGAGGCGGCACGCGGCGAGGAAGCCCGCGCGCGCTGACACTCTTGCAAAAACACCTATGGATTATGAGCAAAACAACCTACAGTCCACGTTACTATTTTTATAGACATCAACTTTACAACGGAACCCTCGGATCTTTCTCCTCTTTTTAACGGCAAGGTCATCGACCATCCCTCGCGCGCCGCCGCGGCGAACGGTGGCACTGGCGCTTACACTGGCCACACGAGACCCCCGTTGACCTATCTACGAGGCCGACGCTCACCTAGGGTTCGACGCGAGACGATGGGCGGCGGTTGCACGAGCCGAGATGCCGTAGAGGGACCTCTCCACGACGGCGGGCACCCTGCGGTAATGGCGACGGTGTTTAGGTGAGCCACAACAACAACAAGGCGGTATGGGTAGCGGGTGAGTAACGACCACTCACCAATGACCTTATCGAGAAGCTAGCTCAACCAGAGACGACCCAAGTGAGGCTGGCCACGTGCGCGCTGCGAGGTGAACGGCGGACCACAAAGGCACGGCCACGTCAGTGGCGAAGAGGAGGCACTAGAGCTACAACTAGCGTGCGCACGACGAAGAGAGAGCCTAGGCTAGCTAGTGGTGCAGAGGAATTGGCGCGGAATGAAGTGGTGGAGACTGGCCACGACGCGGACGACGACGGGCCTTAACGGCACGGCGGCGAGCAAAGCTCCAAAATTGGAGCTCGGCGTGACACGAGTCAAGGCGGGGTGGGTCGGCTGGAGAGAGGGCGTGAAGGCGGAGATGCGAGCACGAGGAATTGATGAGAGGTGCTCTCTCTCTCTCTGGCTTCACCGTGACACGACGCGACGGCGACAGAAAACAGAGGGAGAAAGAGGGAAAGAGAGAGATGACGCGACAGGTGGGCTCGGCTCGTCCATGCCTTGGCAGGACGCGAGCGGAGAGCACGGGAGGCCCACGCGCCAGCGCGACGGACAACATGTGCGCATGTCCAACCAGCATGGCCCGCGCGCCGTAGTGCCATAAATAGTGCGGCGACGGGGGCTCGCCCACGTGCGTGCGGCAAAGGCGACACACACAGGGCTGGCAACAACGTATAGGTGCAGCAGATCAGTGCGGACGCGACGACGACGCGACGGCAGCAGCGGCGGCGCGACGCGAGTAGTGCCGGCACCCAAAACGGCAGTGCGAGGCAGAGCAGCAGGGCGCAAGGGCCAGCGGCTCGCTGCGGCCGGCCTCGGCCAAGCCCAGGCGGCGCGACGGCAGCGGTAGCAGCGCGGCACGGCGGCAGGACGGCTAGGCGCAGGTGAGCGGTGGGCACGGCGGCCAGCGACGTGCCCACCGTGGCCAGGCTACGGCAGCAGCAACCGGCCAGCATGGCCACGTGCGCGCGCACCCGGCGCACCGATGCCGTGACGTCGGGGCAGGACGGCCTGGTGACCGCGCCCAACATAAGAAGACGGCCCGAGTTTATGTTTGCACGGATTTTAAAGCGTTCTAGACGTCTAAACCGTTGATCCAATCCCCAAACTAGTTTTGCTATACCTTAGAGGGTATATTAGGCTACTAAAACAAGCCATAATACTACCCTACTTCTTAACCCAATCTCTCACGATAAATTACTAAACATAGCAATG